TGATTGCCAACATATAAAGCTACTTCGCTACCTCGCCCGTTTGCACGAAATCTCTCAAAAATTCGACACCACTAATATTTGCCATTTGTGTGGAGGCATCATTACGCCAAGTCTCTGCAATAGCTGCAACGTCAATCCCAGATGTACTAAGTGTCAATTGAAGGTCATCCAGTTTGTTTTGTATTGTTCTAGCATTTGTAAGCATCAAGCGAGGGAGCACCAGTGATGCTTTAAAAGACATCGGTAGCCGCTGGATGGAAATAACAGCCCTTAGTAACCTTTGCTTGACTTCTTTCGCATGTACGTTCTCCTTAATAGCTTTTTGTGCAATCCAGACCGGAATTACAGACGCCATTGAGTTGTTCCCACCTTGTGCCATTCGATGTCTAGTACCAGCTTGTTTACCACGATATTTAAATACGCCGTTTAATTTCAACGGTTATAGTTTCTGAGGGCAACCTACTTGCCATTTGCCGAAGGCCATACAGTTGCAATCTCGTATACCTGGAGTTTGCAGATGCCGTCTGAATATTAAGATTCCCTTCATACTGGTGGATACCTGAGCTCCGTGGGCAAAATGAAAAAGGTCCAGGATTGACCTCAACATCCGTGAAGAATGTCAGATCCACTGGTAGTTGTTTACAAGGAATATGTAGACACACATATCTGCGTTTCGTCCATTTGACCAACGGCACATGCATCGATACTCGTTGCACGTTGCGGGAAAAGCATATTATTACAGTTTTGAGAAAGCCGTTAATGGGAGGACAAACCTTGGTGCTCCCACACGTTCTGCAGGTTTCCGCCAAATAGTTAACTCTCACAAATAGCATGGATAAAATCGGTAGAAATATCAATCTCAGAACGGTGACCATCGCCCCGGCAGCCATGTTATTCCATACGATATGCAGTTACGCACAATACAGGTACACAAATGAAATTTCAAACATCAAAATTCACAATTAAACCAGCAGCAAAGTACACCAAAAACAGCACGAATTTTACAACTAACACCAAAACATTCAACCTAGAAGACCATTCAAATGAAGATGACTTCAGTTATCCTAAGAAATTTCACGATTAAAACTAAAGAACAGTCAGGCAGGCTCAAACAGCGCCCTCGTCAATAGCGCCCTCTACTGGTGTATTGTCTGTGTATGATTGAAGGAGCGTTGCTGAATAAACCAGCCACTTTGATTGTTGCATGTAAGTCAAACGTCCAGACGAAGTTTAATTCAAGTTATTTCTGTCGGGGTTGCGTCACTAAGCTTTGGGACAATCAGATTAGGCGTCGTCTCAACGAAGACCGGAGATCATCGAACTTTCTTGGGGGACGGTGTACACTTCCAGGTAATTCCAGAAATTAGGGGTCCAAAAAGTGTGACATTTTCGTGTCCCTGTTACATCTGACTTTTGTTATTTGACATGGAAATATCACTGGAATTGATTTCAAACTATTACTAATTGTTTGGCAGGTAAATTGCATTAATTCATCACTCTTGGAAATTAAAAAATGTGTTCTACGCTTACAAAGTAATATATATCAGATTTGACAGGGACACTAATAAATTTCTGGAATTACCCTTTTAAGAGGAAACAAATCATAAGCACTCCGTGGGATTATTTTTTACTGGGTTTTTATTCAAAAACATCTTTTTTAAAGCTGCAAAGTAAATATTTTCTAGGAATGTTATTAAGGAAATATTGATATAAAACCTGTTATTAATTTGGTTATTTATTACAGAATTTAGAAGCGACGTGCGAATAGCAGAACTACAGTAGATGTACAAGATACTGTGACATTTAATAAAGTAAGGTACCCTGAGAAGTCAAAAGATGTGTGGACTGCGTACTGGAGAAGGAGTGGGAGCCACTGAGTATGCCACACGTGCAGGGGGAGGGGGCTGAAAAGTCGGCATTTCGTGTGTACGTCCTTGTGGACGGCCCCTAAGTTCAATATCTTCATTCTGCAGGCATTCCAATGATCCCATGTGTCCATCGGTGTAAATGGCATAAACATAACTATGATGAGTGTGGCTAATTCCATTTCACAAATCCAAAAAGCAGTTGTCTTATCTAATGAAAATTATATCCGCAACGCATCACTGAATTAAAACGAAGTTTGTTTTGAAAAGATAAAATTCTAAGCTTCGATTTCATACCAAAACAACAATTTGATGGTCAACTATTCAGGTGCTGTATGATTTTTTAACATTTGTGTTTGTTTTTGTCCTGTCCTCATTCTGAGCAAAATGAAATTTGAGACCTTGCGCTCTGTCGTTTTAGGGCTTGCAGTTACCCATCTTCGGCGGCTTATCATCGTTGTAGTATACGCTGGGGACACGTTCCCGAGATAAGTCTTCATGATGAGTGTTAGTTGCCGCCTAATGGGCTGGTATGCCGTACTCTGTGTCCATGTCGACTGGCTGCTATGGACAGGACTCCACAAAGGTCTAGGGGTGCTGCTGCCAACTCTTCAAGAGCAATTCACGGCAGACACGTGGATGATTGGTGGATTGATATCGATCATCACAGCTGCTGGCTGTTTCACAGGTATACGCCTTAGTATTATCTGCAACTTTGGAAATGATGGCCTTTTTAAACAAAATGCTCAACTAAGCGAGCAAACTGTTTTCATTCGTTTTCTTTAAAGTATAGTCGCAATTAATTGTTTTGGACAATGTATGAACATTTTTCTACACTCTCGTTAGGTTAATTGCATTGAAAAGTGCACCTTTTTATTGAACACTTAAAAACTGTCTGTACTTTCGTAGAAACCTGAGGGTTGCTATTGCTGTGATGTGAACGAAGACACAGTTCGCTGCATAAGTTTTTCTATTAAAATTGTGAGCCCAGAATGTACTATCCAAACATTTCAGATAAAGGAATCGGTGCAGACGTATTGCTATGCACATAAACAACAATGAATCAACAAAGAAGGGAATAACATAGTCCAGCAAATCTAAAAATGTGCATGATATTTTTGGGTCTTCAAACTGATGTAACATTTAGAATTCTTCTTGGGAAGGCATAACAGTTTTGCTCAGTGATATAATTCGTCGAAGAGCTTACGAAGTGACAAAAGCCTCCTCTGTACCAGTGCAAAAATAGACACCAAATGCAGCTCTGGTGGAGTCAACAAATACGAATTTGTGCAAACGAACGATATTGGACATGGACACTTCAATGTTATTTTTTTTCCTTGCGCGTAAAATCTTTCTAAGTGACAAAAACTATATATAATGTAATGGGGAAAAGTAAGACCTGCAGGTTTTACAATCCTAGGAAGTATGAAAACTGTCGTTAATGAATTACTGTTTAATTAAAAATAGCAAATCTACAAATTAGTTTGGGTACGCTTTTTCCAACCTTACTTTGCAGCTTAGACTTTGCACGAATTCCCCAGTTTGTGGAGCAAAAGTGGTCAAAAAATCTAAGAATGAAATATGTTTCCACGAAAGGGAGGTTTTTGTCACGTCGTCAGATCATCGACGAATTGTTCATTTTGTGTATACGAAAATGAAATGGGCGGAGATATCAACATGCTACGTCCAGGACAAAACGGTATACTGCTGAAAATGTGGTGCGGATTTATCCATGTTTGATGAAATCAAACCATTTGGTGTTGATTTCACATCACATGGTGTCAACTTCTCTCTGTGCAGTGTTATACACTAATACATTTATTCAATGAATTAGAATAGTCCGGTATCTGAAGGTGTCACCCGATGGACCCTGTTGCTTTGCACGAGTATGTATCCAAACTCTTTGCATACAATTTTCCAATGTCGAATGGAAAGCAGGTGCAACTTATATTGCCATCAAATCCAATGTAGGTCCGTTATCCAGGCCATTGGAGGTGTTGTTTGGTACCCGCATCGTGGTGGTAGTCTGCGGATTCCTATTAGGGACGTCTATCATCGTCTCGTCCTTCTCGACCAGCGCTATAGAGATGGCACTTGCCCTATCCTTAATCGCTGGTACGTATTTTTTTTAAAATTCCAACTGTCGATATTAAGCTAACAAGTCACTATCAACAGCTCAATTGTCAGTGGAGAATCGACAAACAGACTTCAATGGTTCTAACTTGTTTCTGACTTCTTACTGGTGACAAGAGTTTGCAAACAATGGGTGTGAGTGAACATGCATTTCCACGTGCACAAGACCCAATAAGAATTTAACCTGTAGAGAATACAGGTGTCAGTATGGCAGCAAAGCGCCACCAATGCTTGCATCACATGGCCTGCCTTTTGTGAAAGAGTTTCGACCTTATCAGTTAGCTTTCTTGTCAAGGGCAGGGAAGCACCATTGAGGGAACTGAGAAAGACGTTCTGTAATGGGTACTTCGAGACACTTAAACAGATCATTTTCCACTACTGTGTGCATGCCCAGAATTGGCATAAAGGGCCAGCCTGTCTGCCGCCACCAAGCGTTTCAATATTGGCTTAGTTTTTAACCACTGTTTTTCTCCAGGGCCTGGTTTGGTCATCACCAACATTTTAACAAGAGCCATGACGGGTCGTTTTTTCACGACAAACTATGCCACGGCAAATGGTGTTGGGACCGCAGGACAGTCTGTGGGCTTGATCTCCTTTGCTCCGTTGACTCAAGTGCTTTTAGAAACCTACGGCTGGCGAGGTGCCATGCTACTGCTTGGGGCTCTCAGCATGCATCTTAGTGTGTGTGGCTTCCTGCTAAGACCACCACCACCACCATCTGCAGGGGCGCGGGACGACTACCTACCACTTATCCCAAGTGAAGAGGAGCCATTGGCAGCCGAATCAAAAAGCGGTGATGCTGAAAAGAAATTCCGAATCTGCATCCCAATGGACACCAATATGGTACAGAAGAATCTGTTTGGCTACGCCATTTTCGGCCGTACCGAATTCTGGATCGCGACGCTTAATTACAGCGGCCGAGTCTTCGTAAGCATCATGTGGATGATTTACTTTGTAGCTTACGCCGAGTCGAAAGGTTTCTCCGGGTACGAGGCCGTCACGTTCACCACGGTCGCGGGGATAGGGAACCTGGTTATCAAGATTTTTCTTGGGTTGATGGTGGACCGAGGTTGGCTGAAGCTACGACTGGCCTTGCTAATTTCAATCATGACATGTGGCTTGGCTCTATTCACACTTCCTTGGGTGAACGCCTATTGGTTGTTGATTTTCAACGCCTTCATTTTCAACGGTTTCATTGGAGGGCAAGAATCGCTTGGCGACATATACGCCCGGGAACTGCTGGGAGCTGAGGAACTCGTTACTGCTTTCAGCTGGATGGATCTCCTCTCGGCCATTATTCATGTCGCTTTTGGGTTTGTCCCAGGTAAGAACGTTTTGATACTTAGACAGTTTCTAGCTGAGTTTAAACATGAGAACCACGTTGTATTCGACAGACATGCAATATCTCTGGCATGATTTGGGTGAGGTCTGTATTGAAAGGTCGGTATCTCCGTCGTCTCAATCTATTAAAATTGATTTGGTAATAAGTAAAACTTGGTCTCTGTTACCTCTTGTTGACCTTTTCACCAGACTTGAGTGTGCTCTTAATCCAGGCATTTTGCCAATTAAACCACCATATGGCTTGTAAATTCCTTACCCGTCCAAAAGCTGAAGTACACCTTGGGACGGAAATTACAGCTTTTCATGACAATGATAAAGAAGTAGTATTTCTGCAACTTTGGCTAAAAGAATCCATTGTAACAGTTTGAAGGTTTGGTTTAAAATCAGACAGTCACAGACAATGGCTTCAGCTAAGTGCAACAGTATAAAACATTGGTGTATGCATCTTTCATATTACTTATTATTTGGTGTAAAATGTTTTTCTCATCTCTCTTCCGCCCCCACAGCCTGAAAGAGCTTTTGCCACACCCACATTGTGTAGAGTTCAATTGAATTGCACACGTATGAACCCTCTAAAGTGCGTGGCGGGCAGGTGTACACTGAAGTAACTCACATTGTTTCAGATGTCTGTAACCGCTGACGTATTTCGTTCACAACATTTTGTTGGGCATTTTACCATCTCAGTGCCCTGTAAGGGCACAGTGGAGGTAATCGAAGGACAAGGTGGGAAGTGTTTTTTTTTTAAATATTGGCGCCTTATTTATTCCAACGAGGTTGGATAGCTCCTTAGTAACCGATCTTGTCTCTTTTCAGGTTGGATATTTGACCAGACTGGGAGCTTTGACATAGCTTTTGTCCTCTTGGGATTCATCTCGCTTCTGCCGTTGGTGTCGCTCGTCCTGGAAAAGCTACTCAACCGACGGAAGGAGTGACATGAAGCTGCCCTTTTCAACACTCAGCAATTTCAGCAATTCTTATGGCTTTAAACAGATCATTGTGGTTTTATAACGGTATCCAGCGTTGTGTGATTGTTTCTTCGATGAGCGTAAGAATTTTTTTCCTCTTTTCTCTCTAACAAATGATGTCGGACTCCAGAACTACTGTGTATTAAATATGAAAACAGTTGATGCAGTGTAATGGCTAGACAGCACCGTAAAATAATAATACAATGGATATGATTGTCAAACGCTCAGAGGACGACATGGTTAATACAGCTCGCTGACAAATACAATATGGAATACAGAACACATTCACCACGTTGAGCCCCGTAAATTGTACCATTTCTCCGACCGAAGATCGTGTGGAATATTTATACAATGATAATACTTACTCGCGGTTTCTAGCATTAGCACTCTCCCACACGTAGGAGCATGGCCAAATGAAAATGGAAATGAATAGAAGCAAAATGCAGAGAGAACGTTTCTACATTCGAGACCCCAAGGCAAACTGACCATCTTCGCACCGCGTGCGCGCACGGAAAGCGTCCAAAAAGTATGAACTTTGTGTTAATTACCTCCTTGACGTGTATTGAAAGATGAGGGCGCCCTTGCTCGAGCACAGTTCCCTACATTTATATTTACCTTTACCGTGAACAATGCATAAAGGGAGGTTGTAGTGGTTGCTAGCGTGTACATGAACAGTACTCCATACCGGTATTGCTTTGGATAGTCTGTTTTGGTAGGATCACGCACTCTTTGCCCGAAGAAGTCGACCATGGCTTGCCGTGGCGTTCTGAAAGACGTTTTTATTTTTCTTTCTTTTTCGGGGGAAGCAATCGGAACTATGTTCACCTGCATGAATTAAAAAAAAATCCACCTCTAACAACCACGGCAGCCTAAGACGTAGACACGTACTTCCTACGTGTTGTTGAGGAAGGATTGCAAGCAGAACATCTAAACAGTGAGACAGCTGCTCCACTCCGAAGCTGGGAATCTACAGGGTGTCTACATAAAGGTATACGGGAGATAACAATTTCTGTAATGGCAGAACTTTATATTATTACGGGAAAGAGAAATGTATCGCTAGAAAGGACAGAATGGTATACAGCTTGTGATGTTATTGATACAGGTGAGTGAACAAACTGATGCTAAGGGTACTGAAATTGGCAGCGTGACAATTTTGCATATTTGATTAATATGAATCAACCATGCAAGTGTGCAGATTACCGATGTCTTTGCTTTATGGACACATTCTTGTAAACAAGGAATGAACCAAAATCAATCTAATCTGCTCTGTTTTTGCTACTTATCTCATACGTTTAATGTGTTGTGCCCTCCACATGGCCACCGTGCCTGTCATTGAACATCTTACATCTTCGTATGTCCCTTACTGCTCGTTTGATTGGCATTGGCTGGGGTGTAGTGAAAATCTTGTTCTGCGGGTAACCCCATAAAACGAAATCGCATGGTGTTAAATCCGGCGAGCGTGGCGACCGTTCAACTTCATTGTAAACAGAAATTACTCTGTTACCAAAAAGCTCTGCCAGACGTTGTTTCACAGCAACATGTTTGTGGGGTGCGGTGCCATCCTTCCTGAGCCCACCACACCCTCCTCAAAACTCCACGTCGTCTCTGGAGGGTCTGTTCCATTGCTGGCACCACAGATTTATTAATCAAATTAAATTAAAATAGTCCTGTTCATTTAATTTTTTTGGAAGAAAAATGGCAAGTGATATTCAGCACACTTGCATGGTTGAGCCTTGTTAATCGAACGGTAGTTTTGCCCTTACAGTAATTTTTATCTCGGTATACGTTTCATATGGACACCCTGTAGACAAATCAAAGCATCGACAGTTTCCCCTTTGCTATTATTTTGACATCGTTGTAACAATGACCTCACTTACTCAGAATGGTCCATTCGAGGCTAAGCTTTGGACTCCGGGGTACGGGGAAGCTATTGACTCTGTCTACAAATGCCCCTGAAAATAATCATTAATAGCGGAACTCTCGAATCCCTCGGTTTACAAGTTCCCTTTCTCCGCGTGTTACTTACATGAATAAAACTAGTTGTATGCTTGTAGTGGTGTATAACTTTAAAAGGAAAATATAAATAGCTATTGTAATTTCATGCGTCACCGCTAGTGTAGTAAGGTGTTTTAGCAGTAAGTAGGTAGTTAATTACGTAACTATTCATTTTGGTTGTGGTTATTAAGAGATCATGTCATTTACACTTTACATGCACATACCTTGCAGTTTGAATTATATATGTTGTAATTTTACAGGCCAGTGTAAGTATAATTGATACCCTAAAATGTATTTATAGCTAAGGCGAGATTATCCCTATTAGCCCCAAGGCCTCGTTGGTCATCCATAGGTTGTTTTACATGCAAGTTCCCTTTGTTTACCAGGCATTATAATAATTATTTTAATTAATTAAGCAACCCTCAGCAGTGGAGATCATGCAAGGCCACTCTTGCAAAGACACCCCATTCACTAATAGTAATGATATCCAATAAGGACAATGTTACTGAAGTTGTTTTGGTAAAAATCATGTTCATTTTATACCCTGTGTACAAACCCTCTGAGACTGGTCTGACAAATTGTGTTTTCATTGAAAAAGCTTGTACTCTGTCGCTGCTAAAATGGACTTTCCTGACCTCTAACTGATTTCTGGGAAGTAATTGATAACTGAAGAGGAAAATGAGTAAAATCTGTACTTGGAACTCTTTCCAAATCGTGAAGAACCATTGATGAGATCACAGGAATAAACTTCTTTTTTTTTCATGGGTATGCTACATTTGTTCTTGATTACAATAAGACTAATTGGAGACGGCACCACATTAATGGCACATGAGTTTCAGCTGAGATTTCATGAAGGCCCTCACCTCCCGCCCTCCCCAACCTGTGCCCCCCCCCATCCAATGTTGCGTTAAAGGCTGGTGTGCACCCATGGCGATCCATTGCAACAATGGAATGGGGGAATGGGGGTTGGTTGAAGGGGAGAAGGGAGGAATCGCGGGGGGGGGTTGTGACGGGAGCCTTAGTTGCGTTTAAGGCTGGTGCGCGCCCATGGCAATCCATTACAACATCAGAAGGGGGTGGCTGAAGGGGGCGCAATCTAAACTACCCGAGTCTATGTTAACGCACACTGTGAAATGTTTCAAAGCATGGCATTAGACACATTGGTTTCTGGCAATTCTTACAAATCATACGAGTCTGTTTACGTTGGGTTCTCGTACTGCAAACAACACGGTTTCGTTTTTTGGCCTTGCCTACTTCTTCCGGGATAATGTCCACTTGAAAGGAGTGCAGTTTCAGGGGCATCTGGTGTTGAGTTGCTCGTCCTGCAGGCAGACAACATTTCATTGATGACCTGGACCCGGAAATCCAAGCTAGTGAGCAGACGCTTTGTAAGGATGCTGTGGCACACGATGGTAGCATTAACCAAATATCAAGAACTGCAAAGAAAACGCGTTTCCACCATTTCAGGGATCTATGATGATGTGTGTAGTACTGACGCATTTGTGATGCTAAGTCACTTCCGCCCATGTGCTTATTATAATCGTTGACGACGGCAGGTCTTTGGATTTTACGACGTCTGGTGGAACTTTTTTGCAGCGAATGTCTCTAGCGTCACTTTTGCAGTTGCCATAATTAGTCAGACCTGTTACACGTTTTTTGGTGTCCTGCCAAACAACACAAAGTTGCCCCGCTTTAGACAAAAACTGGATCATGTCGGTCATGGGGACCTTCTTAGGGTTTTCACTGTCTGGATTGCCTAGTGTGGTATAGCGTACAGTTCCACGAGCTTTTACCCTGGGAAGAGGGAGCGGCCTCTTTTGGCAAGTCCGTTGGAGCTAATTAACATTTAATTTTGTTTCACTCCAAATTCCACGACTACTTATCATATCCTACCCCTGTACATGCTAAAAAAAAACCTGGCTTAGTCACTTTACAGTCAGGGCCTCCCCTAGCCAGAAAAATGCAAAAATTCCAGCTGGCCTTGAGCCAGCCTCCAGCCAATTCCCGTAGGACTGTGTGCTAAGTGGTCCCTTGTGTACAATCTAATGGGTTGTTTACAAAACGGTGCCTGGGGCATGCAGTGGAATGTTTTTTATCAGTGACAGCTGTCTGGAACTTGTCAGGGGCCTCTTACAGCTGTCTTTGAAGTGTTATTTTTGTTGGGGGGTGTTGTGGTGGTGGTATGGCGTGGCTGGCGCGTGGCAAGGGCCCCCTCAAATCAGGATAGCCTGGGAAAACGCCCCCCCCACGGTACTATGATGTACTGTTGGTGGTTTTTGATGGTTTGTTAGAGCTGTAGAGGCTAGGGGACAACCACTGAAGCATTAATATGCCTTTATGACGGACTCAGGGCTCTGCAACCCTGAAAAATGAAACGGACTCAACGGAATAGTCCGCTCCCGAGACCGTGTGAGTAAAAATTCACAAAGCATTCATACATTTTAGAAAGCATGTGAGAAATGATGACTGAACGCTTAATGTCAACTGAGTTTTTAGTTGGATTGAAAATGCCAACAACTTGATAATTAAAGGATTGTCGACCAATCACTCAAAAATCGTGCAATCATAAGTAGGGGCACCAGAACTCAGAAACTGCCCCTACTGAAACTTACACTTATGTCCTACCATCACTGCTGACCCCCAAAATTCAATTATTTTTAAGAGAAAGACACAACATCATAAAATCTGAATTCCAAATGAAATTTCTAGCAGTTGAACTGTATAAAAAAAATTTATCAGGTAACGTTTTAGCTTTCTGATTGCTGAAGTGAAGGGAAGAATTACTGGTGGCCGTAGGCCTGTATCACAGAACTTAGGTCTAGGCCAACTGTACCTCCAAATCTTTGGGTCTGACGTCCGCCCCGCTCCGAACGTGGAAGCAGGGCGGACTTCAGACCCCATAGCTCTGGGGATAGGCTAGGACTATATGGAAATCTTCCCGCTTAAATAATAATACTAAAGCCTAGGCTGCTACTAACCTGCGCTGACCCAACCTTCCCGACACGGTGGCCCATAGTTCCAATTGCCTACTTCAAAGGGAGACGGGTTTTTGTGAGAACACCCAGGCATCATGGCGCATTTTTTGCTTCGTTCACCATGAACATGATGATGAGTCAGCCATTCTCTCGCCTTCTCTAAAGCTGTCTAGCAAAGACCTTGGCTAGATAGCTGACTAGAGCCTGAGAATGCACGCACGGACGCTAAAATGTTTGAAGGGCTCAAACTTAGTACACGTACGTCAGCATGGAAGCAAAGGCGGGCATGCAGTGTCGCAGTGCTTCGCGATCGCTCGCGTCAGTCATGCATACATGCACCAAACAAGATGGCGATTGATTGAGTACTGCGGACCACCTGGCTCTGTTCAACCGTTGAGGGGGGTACTTCTTGTCGAAGTGGATAAACGTGATATCTTAGCGCGTGGCTTTCTTAAGCGCTTGGGCACGAGTGGACCTGGATGGTTGGAGGACCACCTGGGGTGTACGGTGCAGGAGAAATAAGTATGAGTAAGTATTGGTTGAGTGAGGCGACATCCCTAGATTGGTTTTGGCCCTGGATGTACATGCCCCCTTAGAGGTAGTGCATTGTGGGAGGGAAATACGCTAAATATTGCTCTCCTTGTTCACAAGCTACGATTGAGAAAGCGCCCTCTGTTAGTTGCTGTCAAACTGTTTCCTCATTTGAGGCAGTTTTCATATTAGGCGTATAAGGTTGATGTCAAAATTGTCCAACTTCAAGGAGCGCCTTCTATCGTTATGTTTTCTAAATAAGCCAGGGGTGCAGGTTTTTCCCATGGTCAGATGTTTGCTCGAATAAATCAAACCAATCCCTGATGTTCAGGTGTACAGTGAATGGGTGTCCTAGACTGTTTATTTCTGTCACTTTGAGTTTTCCCTAAACCACTAAGCCAATTATACAACAGCTAGCCATCCAGCCAAATCCAAAGGATCAGCTATTCAACTGGGACGGTATACTTCCATCCCAACCGACTCGTCCCAGCCGCCCAGGGACTTTCCGGTACGTGCCGTCCGCTCCTCGCTTTGCAGAGAGGGCGCCCTCACCCGAGTCTCGCTCCACCTTCAAAGGGCGGGCGTCACACCACGCAATTTGGATACGGTGTTGCCACAGCTTAGCTAACGGAGTATGTACTGTCCCACCAGCAGTGAATAAACAAAGAGAACAAAGCACATGTAGCGGCATCACATTGGAATCCAACATGAAGTTGCATCTCAGCTGATGTTGACGTTTGCGCTTTTCCCCCTATATCGTCGGTCTTTTCACGAAGTGGCGAATTTTTGGTATCACTACAATAAGACTTTTCGAGAAAACCGCATTTGAAGTTGGTCTTTCTTTCAATTAATCATTTCCCCAGTATTTAACCTGCCCTTGACTTAAGTCATGCTACTGCCTGCAAGAGGGAATCTTAAATGACACAAAACTGCCAAATAATATTTAAAGAAGTCAATTAAAATTGTTTATTTTGTGAAAAAAAAATCGACTCTTCGTGAAAACGCTAAAATGAATGCGGCTGTTGTCTATTCATGAGAACGCGAGCTATTTTGCTATAGCGCGTGCCAGGTGCAAAATTGTTACATTTTTTATACATTTGCAGAGTACAATTCGCCTCTGTGAAAACGGCGAAACGAGTTTGCCCATGAATTTGCATTTTATTCCTTATGCCATATCTATGGAAGAAAAATGTGCCCTTTCATGAAAACGCGAAATACAGTTTAGTTGAAATTTGCCCCAGGTAGATCATCGTGATTTGGATGATTTCAGTAGATTTGAGAAAAATGATTCACCGAATTATAGGCAATTATTAGGCGATTTAATGTTGCCAAAAACAGAATTTAAACAAAAAATCATGATTGCCCATTTGTGAAGACAATGAGGAAATGGATACCTATTTGTAATCCATAGTGTTTGTATTCAATAGATTTCAACATTTGAAGTCGATAGCAATTAGGTCGATGCTAACTCGAGGCATAATTGAAACTTACTACGTCATAGTTAGGGGGTTAAAAATCAAGCGAAGACGGACATGAACCTCAGCACTGGAAAAAAAGGGCGTTTAAAAGTCACTCATCCCCTTCCTACCCAACTTACAGCACATTGGCAAGGGCTTGATTTCTTTGAGCTCTCATTGTATAGACAAGTCCAGCGACGACTCACAAGACCCGGTGGGCCCATTTATCACGAAGAGTCCGGTCAGTATTTCAGTGGTGCATGCCAAAAATGAAGCGCATCCGACGTCATTCGGATTCGCGTACGAGATCTGCCCTGTTGGCGCGGCCCTAAGCGGACTCGTACTCACACGTGTTATTTATTCACGAATAACCTTGCTTTTTTAAATACCGAACTGGCTCATCACAGACTTACCGCCAGGGTAGATGAAAGTCGTGTGCACAGAGAGTGCACTGCGCACAAGTACAACTACTCTCCTCATCCATGGTCTTTATTTTGCATTGATCCAGACAGTAATTCGACATGGGCACAGACGTCTGTTGTTTTGTCTTAGGCCTACTGCTGATTTTCAAGGTTTTGACCCGCACGCACAGCAGCCTTTGTATTTATGACATCACAGCTTTCACGGAGCGAGTTTCGATCAGGGTCATCAATATTTAAAGTCTTACATTCAGGACACGGGGCCATTTTTTTCCAAAGTTCCTTCTCTGCAACAGCGTTAAATCCAAGATGGCAACTCAGTGACCACGTTAATAAATTGCAGTCGAAGACAACTGGCTTCAAAAACGTAACTAGACAATGTTTACCTTAGATGGTATTACATCTGGTTTGTGAATAATTTGTATTCCAAAAGTTAGGATGAGAAATCTGCTGGATTTCCAACAGAAGATTTAATTCATTACAATTTCACCGAGACGTATTTAGAACTGTGGTTTCTTCGTTCTAATCCATACTGTGCCTCATGTTTCCCCTGCAGTTGACTACCGTGGTCCCTTGTAAAAGACATGGGAAAAATGACAACTTTGGGGGTCAGCTTTTACCTATCCAGTGTTAGCAAAAAAAAGACAGGTTGGCACTTTACACCTTGGATAAAATGGCAACGTTTAGTCATGAGACTACATATAATTATCATAATGCACATGCGTATTATTTTTCACCATGTGATAACTTGCTGTGTAATAAGGCCGTGTCCGAAACGGGCTTCCAGGGCTACGGCTAGGTCTGTTGTTTACGCGCCTCCACGCATTTTCAGTGGAGTGAAGACCTAGACCTAGACAAGAGATTTGGACGCAGCCATAGGTTAGAGTTTACTAACTACTCAAAAATCAACTTGCATGTGGTATCTTGACGTAGTTTGAAATATTTGCTACTCAGCTGTGCTCAGCGTAGTGATGTGACAACTGGATTACACAGTGCAGTCTTGAGGGGATATGCATCGCATTGCGATGGTAAAAATGGCTTTAAGAAACATGAACAGAAGGAAAACGCAACCAAAGATATTTACACAAAACACTGGCAAGGATAGAATAAAGCGCATTTAGGATATCGCGCCAAGACCTTATCAGCCTAGCACTTGAACTTTGTACATCTAAGGCGAATCAGCACAATGAGCTTGGTCTTTTCTCAAATAATAAATATGCTGGTATCTCATCTGGCGTCCTTTCTTTTATGGGTCGGCGGGGGTGCTAGTTCCAGCTTGGCCAGACCGGATATGACGTCATCTGGGACCTGCCCCGTCTCCTCGTTCATTGCTGAAGAGAAGAAGAGAGATGGGGTCATGAACATTTCAGTAAGCTTTCTCTGGTTGCCGGTAGTTCTGTCAGAGACCCAAATCCAGATCTCAAAAGGTCCAAAGTGTCGATCAGTTCTATACATGGACCTCTCTGACGTCATAAAAGACGTCACATTTTACATATGTTTGAAATAAATGGTAAGATATTAATGTTGGGTTTGACATGAACCTCGACAGGGGAATTATTTTCTGCGTTGCAAGCACTTTCGTGGGTTCTGAGGCATTACAGTAACGTTATTTGGACAAACCATGTAATCAAAATGGGCAGGATAATTATGAAAGTACTACTTGCAGCGAGAAAAACCTTTGACCAATCTTGGAGGCACGACACTCCCACTGACAAACAGTTTGTTTACTGAAATGGCACTGATTGCAAATTTCTCCAGAGTTATATATGGTCTTGCTTTCACCTAGATCACAATTATGAAGTAAAACGCGTAATATCCATCTCTACGGGATCGGACCCCAGGTCCTGGTTGCGGATGCTTTCATCTTGTGAATGAACTTTCGCACATTCCTCAAAAATATAAAATACCTTTGTATTTTCTGGCTGGTCCTGATATTTCTTTATTTTTGGTCTGTTTGTCGGGTACTGATTGCTTGTATTCCAGTACTAGCGTCACTAAGTCCGGTCTGCAGATTTTCTCCAGCGCGTGCTCCAGGTAGGATAAATCATCTGAATACCAAACGTCAGAAGCATTTTGAGAATTAAATAGTATCACAAAGCAATGCAAGCACAGGTGGGACTTTTTTTCAAACTTATTTTGGTCTCCCTTATTAAATGATAGTCAACAATTGCAAATGAAAGAAGTGTGCTCATGGGTAGCTGTGATTTCGAAACATCCGGGCTTTATTCATGTGTATTTTATTGCTCATGCTTCCCAAGTTTACTTCATTTATTGAATACTTGAGAGAATTAAGAACAGTGAGGTGGGTGAATATTTTCCTACAATTACTACACAATAAAGTGTATATACAAAACAAGGTAAACTCGTCCATAATACAACTGTACCAATCGGAGCACACAGATGCTAACCTATAATTTCCACCTACTGCATCATCTTCGTCACGAAATTTACTGTAAAAGCTTCGCTTTGGACTCAAGGTGGCCGACTCGTGAGTAACGCCAATGGTCTCTTACCCGCGCTGAGCTTGCCCATTTTCTCCATGTACTCGAAGAGCTCTCGTTGCTTGTGAATCCTCCCTCGCTCCTCGTTCGGGATGACGTCTTGACAGGCGGCCGCCAGAGACCGAAGTTCCTCCTCCGAGATGTTCTCCCCAAGTTGCTTCAAGAAATTGTGGAACGATTCACCCATGGTGCGTAGTTGCACTGGAAAAGATAGAGAGGTGACCTTGAGTTCCACTAAGGGTCTCTGAACGGAAAAGTAAAGGGAGGATCGAAAACCACATTTTGTTGAGGGAATTGAGTAATTTCTATGTAACCTTTTAAGACCTGTCTGAGAGTTGAGGCTATATTTTGATCCACATTTATCCTTTTTGGTAAAAAAAATGGAAATTAAACAGATGACAAAAATCGCCCATCTCCTTCATTAGTTTTCACGAAAAAATGTTCCTGTTATGGGGGATCGTAGTCCCCGTTGACGAGATGTTTTATACAATGCACTGAGAATACTTGACTTGCATAAAGGCTATAATCGTGGCCCTCAGGGATTTCTCAAAGCCTGACACTAGGCGTGAAGACTAGTCGCCTCTAAAATTTGGCAATAAAACCGTTTTCCCATAGAAAAAGTATACGGTGCATCCCCTAGTTGTGTTATTAAAAAAAAACGCGCCCGTTGTCCAATCCTCAGATTCGGTATTGGATACCTCAAATCCGGTGGACACTTTATTATTCTATCTCAGTATTAATGAAAAATGAATGACTGCATTGTTGTTCACGTTAATGACAAATTCTGTTACTTTCCATTAAGTCTCCGCAAGTTAGAACTCCATTGCATATGCAACGTAGTTTAGTGCTTATCTCAAATGACAACGAAAATGTATCTTTGTGTGTAGGTCTTTAAGTCATTCTTTATTGCCATTCAGTCATAATTGATTAATTATACATGAGATGAGTGAATAAGGAGCCAACAGGGCCATGGCAGCCCCCCCCCCCATCCTAAAAAGGGCCATTAAAAACTAAAGTGTGTTAGAAAGGTGAATTCTTTGGTCACTACACCTTTTCTTCCTCTAACAAGCGAGTAAATGTAGCCTCACTGCTCGAAAGGCCGTGAGAGGTTAGGCCTGCTCGACAAAAATCCAGCCTTTGGCCTTGCAAAAGACAAGGTTGAACTCCCCCCCCCCATTCGAAAAAATCTGAATTTGTCCTTGCTTGCAAAAATGATGGCCTTACTTTTCCCATGAGACGCAGGAAAAACTGATGTCATTTCGCACTTACATCTCCAGCAAAAATGCTCGAAGTGTTAATTATTTCATTCAAATAATGTAAATCTATCATTCTTTCTAAGGTTTGAATTCTTCCACTATGCAGGACTTGACGACATTAATTGTCAGTTACCGATCGCTGCAGACACTTGTCGAATTTCCCCGCAAATTACCGGGGCACTAATGAGCCCAAACTGCTGAACAATGACTCTGAAGTGATTATCTAAAAACTGACCTTCGGTTGCCCATTACGACAGCCAAGGTCTATTCATAAAAGCGCAAGAACTACATGACTAAACTGTGTAATGGCCAGACGAGTGTTGCTATTCACCAGTCTATGATCGACTTGAAGTCACCTGGCATCTGGTGTATGGAGAGGGCATTAACCTCTTGCATAAGAATTAATTATACATGTACAGCCCTAATGCAATAATAGCGCAGACCTACACAGCTCCAGCTGCCAGACAAACATCAAAACATAGAAATACAAAAATAAACCATTAAATTACCGGCATCCCATGCTGAATAAGAAGGACGGGAACAGCAATAATACGACTGTACGGATTCGATATTAACCAAGACTCGATTTTCTATTAACGGAGCAGTTTTTGAGCTACGGATTGACAGGATGTCTTCAGCATGGTATAATTTACGCCTACAACCAAAATTGGGTTTCCTTTTATAAAAATGGTTAAACAAATTTCAGTGTACAGTCATGGCCTGTATTCCGGTAATTTGAAAACACAAACATACGTTTTGTCGCAGCTTCAGATACGTTCTCTGATATTTAATTGACATCATGGGGTGGGTTTACTTTAGGAAACGAAGGCTAGGCTACATATGCAGCAAGGTATGAGACGGAGGGAACCCCCCCTGCTTTGTGTTGGTCATTGTCTCGCAAGAATCTGGGGAATTCCTTTCGGACATCTTGGGGGGGATGTGTTAAGTAACAAAAGTCTGGAATGTGTATAGGGATTGGACATGTTGGGGGGGTATCCCTCGGTCTCCGATTTCTTGCTGGGTATAGAAGGCTGCTCTGAAGAAATTGAATTTGCGCGTTGGAGTAGTTTGGTACCAGACATACAAAACAACACTCCCATCAAAGTCCTCAGAACAAGAAGCGGAGGTTGAGTTGAAAGTCTACACGGCGCAAGGTGTACCCAGAGGAAATACACCAACTGCATCCTAAAAACATAGCCGAAATAGAGTCGGATTTAGCCGCCTCAAAATGCGGCAAATGCTATCCAAAGTGGATTTTCCCGTGAACAAAAATCAACTCGGGCCCTGGGCAATTAAGAAGCAGCCGCTACACGGTGTTCAACCTGACTACCGTTTTCGTCAACCCCAATCCACCGACGTGGGAGTTGGTTTTCCCCCGATTCACATCAACGTCCTTCGCTACTGCATTTTGCTAATTTCCCCGCAGCTTTTCATCCCCAAAAGTCTCGCTGATTAAATTCTGCGCTTGCTGATTATGCGACGGGTATAGACAATTCGCAATTTATCGACGGCCCCTGTCATTTTGCATTTTGGCCGCTGAGAACTAGACTGGCGCACTTGGTGATAGGTCCTTGGCATTTGCAATGCAAACAGACCTAGTCTCTCTAAGGGGGAGACAACGTGGTTGATATAGAAGTGATATGTTCGTGTTTGTGTGAGGCCCATCTGTTTGGCTGATGGTTCATTAATGTGCAAGAGTTTCCAACACATGAATGCTATGCTCCATTTAACCTTTGATTGTCACTGTAAGCAAACATTCGGACATTTAGCCCGTGCAGACGCTACAGAAACAAATTATAGGTTTTTCCGGCCAAATTCTGAAAATGCCCGATCTATTTTGTAGAATAAATTTCATTTCAGCATAGATTTTGGAAACGACTTAACACCTGGTTTTATTTTTGCAATAACAATCATTCGACTTTGTTTGGCATCCTTCCAATAAATGAAAGTGCATTACTTTCATTATAGAGGTTATAAATACGTGATTGGTATTTCAGATTGACGTATTCCTTGCAATATTGCAACAAATGAGCATTCTTATTCGCTGAAAATCTGTCTTTTAACGTGACCCTACGGAAGTGAGTATTCATTTTCATTTGCTATATGAAAATCGCAAAATATACATTCAAATTTGATAAGAATATAAGGTTACACAAATCATGCCATCACTTTGATATAAATGTCATCTTTCTCATTTATAGTGTGTTTGTTATCAAACTGTAAACAAATTAAGGTTTCTATGATTGAAACGCAACACAAGAAGGAAGGTTCCGTCAGCGTCGGTACCGGCATTTATAGGTTTCCCACAATAGTCGTTAGTTTCCAATGATAACATGAATGGTTTAATTAAATTATGAATATTTAAACATTTAACCAATCAACTAAACACTTCTGAGGATGCAACTTTTGTTAGCACACAAACAAATTTTAATTCTCGACCAGGGCTACGCTAAATAACACTTCACGCGATATCGCCTGCATGATTTCCGAACTAGATTTAGTTCAAATTAACATGCATGCAGGATTGCAGAGTGCATTCAATTTCGCGCAAAAACGAATGTCAACATTCTAAACCAGTGCAATGTTGCGGCATTGAACGCTGACTCTAAACGACTGAATGCACCCTCATTGAAATAGAATTTGTATTTGTTAAATACAAACGGGGATTTGATTGTTCGTTCTATTTCACGCGAAAACGAATGCTGCTATTACTGATTCATCTACACATTTTTCGAAATTGGCCGGGAAGACCGATATTTGCCGCAGACAAACGACCCGTTATTAATATCCATAGTCACCAAGATGAGGAACGGTGACGTCAGGAGATAAGATAAAATTATACCTTCTTGTTGAGAGTTTGCCACATTAACAAATCTTGAATACCCCTTCCCCTCAGATGATCTTGATCATCTATTTCACTTTTAATATTTCAAATCATTTCACATTCGCAGCCGCCAATGCTATACAGTTGCTTAAGGAATGGCACACTGATATTAAGGTGAACTACTTGACACAGATAAAGGTTAATCCCGGTGCATATAATGTGCATCCATCTACGGAGAACCAATATCCTCAATAAGCCTTTTGCGAGTTAAAGATGAATAAAATCTGGTACATTGAGTTCTTTAAATTCACGTGAACACAACAATTTGATTTCTCCATACTAAAGACGCTGTTGATATACCTCGTGATGTGGGTAAGCTCTTCCTTTATTGGAGAGGCTTTGCCCCAATCACTGTTTTCAATGCATAAGAAGAGAACGGAGGAACCAGTCCATTGCAGAGAGGGTGATCGCCTCGCAAAAGCTTGCCACGAATCACGAGGTATAGCCACAGTGTCTTTAGTCTGGGAAATTCAGATTGTTATGTTTATGTACAATCAGATAAGTTAAATCAGTGTACCAGATATTATTCAAATTCAAACTAGAAAAGGGATTTTACCTAAGTCCAGGTGTTTTATTCACTGGCAGCTTGAACTAAGACTATCAGGTGACTTTAGGTCCATGTAAAATGAAAGCTGTATCGCCTTTTCAACAGAACAGTAGATGTTGGTATACATGTACATTTCGAAATCTAAGCGTTTCTCCTACACTCTATGCCTGTGGCGTTTTAAGGAGGCACGATCAGAACTAGGAAGAAATGTTTTTCGCCCAAGTATCATTCAATTATAACGTGCACCAGCATATGCGAGTTTTAATCTCACAACGGCACCATAATATCGGCCATAGAATGGATACGTGGTTAATGGTCAACAAGTGGTTGGGCCTTGTACAGGCAGTGGTGTTACGCATCAGTTTCTATTCCTAAACTAAATTATAAATGACACTATAAGACAAACTTTCATGATGAACGCTAGTGTGACGTATACCAAGGGCGTGAAATTGGGTAAAAGCTCTCCCGACCTTGAATGATATTTGTAGAAAAATACAGCATCTCATAAAAACAGAGCTTTGCGAGTGCAACCAACAAAAACGTCTCTACAAGTACCT